GACCATATCTCTAAAGTAGTCATGGTGATATCTGATACTTGGATTCCCAGTAAAATACAAAATGAAAATATAGTGGAATCTTGTTGTCAAGTACTGGAGACTTTATTTTCTTCCTTTTAATGAAAGTTTTAAAAGTGTGAAATATTTTTGGCAAAAGGAGGAGCAATGAGATCACGAACACTGTGTGCCTACCACACAGCAGATGAAGCATCGCAGGTAGAATCGAGGCCCCTGCACTGAATCTGGGGGAATGATTCCCAGGAATGCATTTCTGCTTCTATCTCCTATGCATGTGATGATCACCAATACAGTGGGTCTGCACGAACACTGAAAAGGTTTTCTATTCTCTGCCTTCTGATGACTTGGAGTCAAGGACCCTCTCAGAAGGGGCCATGCTTCCCTGCAGACCTCACCATGGTGTGCACTGAGAGCTTCAATGGCAGAGTAACGGTGAAGGGTATTTTGCTTCTATTCTGTCTTTTCTTCCTATAGACTTCATAGCTGGGCAGAATAAATAATGTTCTCTCAATGTCTTGAAACCCACCTCTGCCAAGCTCCGTGCATCCCCAGAGGAGCAGGAAGGGGGTGTGGCCATGGGGAGTGGAGTCTGCCCTGCCGGGCAAGGGCGGGGGGTGCGCTTGGGTGACCTCTCCGGCGTTGGTACACAGGTCCATTGGCAGGAAATGGTTCTTTGCCCAGTGTCTCATTTTGTAGTACAGGAAGGAGATTGGGGAAAGTGAATGACTTTAGAGAGCAGAAGTGCCTGTACCCACACTGGTCCTCCTTCACTGACAGTACAGGGCTCCTCTGCATGCAGGTCGTGGACTGGCTGGGATTCCACCACACCTGGAGCTGCTCTTCAGGTGAGGATGACTGGGAGGGAGGAGGCAGGACACCTCATGAAAGGCACTGAGGGCATTTCTGGGGAAGAAGGGAGTACTCTCTTAAAAAGTCCTGATGATTTGAGGATATATTCATTTATTCCCCACCCTCATTATCTGAAAGACTCTGAGATTCCCAAGGTTCTTAGAACTGAGAGCATCCTGGGGAGGTATTGAGTGTCCCTGCAAGGGGAAGTGTAAGTTGGGGCTGAGGGTGCTCTGTGGGAGATGAGATGCTGGAAGAGATTTTGGGACTGGAGGCAGGTGACAAGACAGCCTTTTAAAGTCCTCATCCAGCTACAGCCTGGGTCCCACAGTTGGTGGCAAACCCCCAGTTCATGCCTTGACCCCATACTGTGCCAAGAATGGCAGAAGAGATGTGTCAGTTTAAAATTTCTAATGTATAGACAGTGCAAGCACACCAATGCTGAGTTCTTAGAAACAGCCTCCAGCCCCTTTTCTCTATCATGTGTGTTCACGTGTGAGTGTTCAGGGGAGACGTCATCACATGGTGGGAAGAGAAGCCTTTGGAGAGAGACTGACTTGGGTGGTTCTGGGCTCCCCCTTTGTTTGCCATGTGACCCTGGGACAGGTGGTCACTGTCTCCAAGTCTCTAGCACCTCACCTATAAAATGGGGTTATTCCCACATCTGCCCAAAGTTAGAATTAAACAAGCAAATGAGCTAAAGCATCTAGCAGCTTATAGTTTCCATAATAGGATACCTGTAAAATGCGTTCCTCTGTTATAGGAAAATTGTATTTGTAAAAGAAGAAAAATGGGGAAAACTCCCCTGTGTATTTGCACAAGAGACAGATTGAGCTTAATTTAAAATGTGCCAGAGATCCAGTATCATAAAGGCTCCATTTCCGTTTCAATGCCAAACAAAAGTCTCCCCCATTCAGGTATCTCAGTGTGTGGATGGTTTTCACCCAAAATGGCCCACTTAGGAGAAGGAGTGAAAAGAACAATTGTCCATTTCTCCTATTCACCCACACCCTCTCTGATAAATGCCACTCCTTAAGCAAACCTGTTGCCCATGGCAACACATTCAGAAGATGGGCTGCTGGTTTCATTTCTTTGTTAGTTGGTTTGGATTAGAAGTGCAAGAAGGCTTTTAGACTTTTGTCTACACATTAGGATGCCTCTTAGTAAAAGAAAAGAAGAAAAGGTGATCATCGTTAACATGGGATAGTGACAGTCTAGTTTAAGGTGGTTGTGGTCAACATGGGGCAGTGATGCTCTAGTTTAAGGTGGTTATGGTCAACATGGGACAGTGACACTCTAAGGTGGTTACGGTCAATATCGGACAGTCACGCTCTAGTTTAAGGTGGTCATGGTCAACATGGGGCAGTGACGCTCTAGTTTAAGGTGGTTATGGTCAACATGGGACAGTGACACTCTAAGGTGGTCGTGGTCAACATGGGGCGGTGACACTCTAATGTGGTCATGGTCAGTATGGGGTAGTGACACTCTAGTTAAGGTGGTTATGGTCAACATGGGGCGGTGACTCTCTTGCTTAAGGTGATTGTAGTCAACATGGGGCAGTGACACTCTAAAGTGGCTATAGTCAACATGGGGCAGTGACGCTCTTGCTTAAGGTGATCACAGTCAACATGGGGCAGTGACGCTCTAGTTTAAGGTGATTATGGTCAACATGGGGTGGTGACACTCTATGGTGGCCGTGGTCAACATGGGGCAGTGACACTAGTTTAAGGTGGTTATGGTCAACATGGGCTGCTGACACTCTAGTTAAGGTGGTTCTGGTCAACATGAGGCCCCCAGCTTTCCCCTCAGAAGGGGCTCTGAGGTGTGGCCCTGATCCTCATGGTCTCCCATGCCCATGGAACACCATCACATCTTTGTCCAGATTGGCAGTGGGCAGGTGGGTGAAGAAGGGTGTGTGGACTTCACTTGAGAATGCTTTTCTTTTTAGAAGTCCCTCACACTTCCACTTCCACCTCTCTGGCCAGAGCGTACTCAGCTGTGCCTGCTGCAAGGAGGGCTGGGAAATGTCGCCCCCTATTGCATGCCCTGCAGCTTCTGAGAAACCATGGTGTGGTGCTCTGTTAGTTTCCTGGGGCAGCTGTAACAAAGTACCACAGGCTCAGAGCCTTTTAATAATGACATTTATTTCCTCTACAGTTCTGGAGGCCAGAAGTCCCAAATCAAGGTATCGACCAGGCTGTGCTCCTTTTGAAGGCTCTGGGGTGAGAGTTTTTTGTGGCCTCTTGCAGCTTGCGGTGTGGCCGGCAGTCCTTGGCATTTCTTGACTTGCAGTTGCACCCCTTCAGTCTCTGCCTGCACATGCCTTCTCCCCTGCGTGTCTGCGTCTTGTCCTCTTCTTTTAAGGATGCCAGTCCATGGGTGTAGGCTCCGCCCTCACCTGGTATGATCTCATCTGAATTTGCATCTTCATTTCCTCTGCAAAGGCCTTATTTCCAAGTAAGGCCACATTCTGGTTTTTGGGGTAGATGTAACATTTTGGGGGATACTATTCGCCCCATTACAGGTACCAAGAATTAGAATGGATGTTGGCCTCTGCTTTCATCTTTGATTCCCCCAAACTTTGCAATAAAGTGGAGCTCACCAAATCAGTCATGGGTCGGTGGGCTTGTTTTCACTGAGATGCATTTCCTGGTGGACTTGACTGCTGAGAAACGACTGGGCTCTGTTCCTACAGGGCAGAGGGGACAGTGAGGGCTTGGAGAGGACAGTCTGAGTTTGAGTCACGGTTCTGAGGCCAACTAGAGCATTCGCACATTCCTCTTTATGAACCTCAAGTTTGTGTGTATCTTGGGGTAAATGATGTCCACTTTAAGGATCTTTTAAAGACTCAAGAGTGTCTCTTAAGTACAAATTATTACCTACTCATGCTAGCATTAAGAGAGGAGTGATAACCAACATCAAGTTTGTCATTCTTTCTGGAACGCTGTTGATTGAGATTATTTTGGTTGCAAGTGACAGAAATCCCATATCAAACCAGCTTAGGCTATGGGAATCTGTTGGCTCTTGTAACTAAAGTCATGGGATTTGCTGTAGGTGCAGCTCCAGGTGCCCTAATGATGTCACCCAGGATCCCGGGTTATTGGACTCTGCCCTGCCTCCCGCTGTGTCATTCCCAGGTTGTGGGCTCTCATGTTGTGCTGGGGAGATGCCACCACCATGCCAGGTCCTGCGTTCTTACTCCACATATCCCAGGGTCCCTTTCTTAATTCCTAAGGAAAAGCAGGAGGATCCTGGCACCACCCTTCTCTGGCCATCAGTTCTGATTGGCTTGTGCATCTATCCCTGAAGCAATTACTGTCAGGACAGGCACACTTGGGTGGCTTGAGCCAATGGGGGACTGCCCTGAGAACTTGCAGTGGTCTTGGTTTCACCCCTTTTCTACTGCATATGCTGAGACTGAGCGTGTGGGAGGAGGGGAAATTGATGCAGGAAGGAAGCTGAAGGATGTCCCGCAAGGTGAGCAGTTCTAGGAAGCTGGGGATCTCCTCAGGGTCCTGAGGGCAGTGAGGTAGGATCACTAAGAACTCAGCTTGTGATCCAGTAAACGGTGAGTGTGCCTGCCGCTTGCCATATGAGCTTGGCCAGTCTCTTAACCTCTCGGGTCTCAGGACTCCTGCTGGCTCCAGAACGTGTTCTGCATTGGCCATCCGTCCGTTTCTAGATGCCATCTCTCCTGTTTGAGAATGTTTTCTAGGAAATTTTCTAGTGGTGTCTGAAGCAGAAGCCTTTTGTCTCACTTACCAGGACAATGGGGGGTTGGTGTTCTACCAGGTGGAGAATTTGAGATATCTTGCTCCAGATGATGCTGCCTTTTGTGGCAAGCTAGTGGAAGGCAGTGGTGGGGGCTTCACAGCGAAGCTGATGCTGAGGGGCACAGGCGAGAAACCTCCCTTACCGGTGATGGACAGGCTGTTACCTTGCAACATCCTCAACTATCCCTACCAATTTCCCTTGCTTTGATGCTATTTTTTTTCCCTCCTAGCACAAATCACTTTCAATCACTATGATGCCTGCTTGTTTATTATGTTTATTGCCTCCTTCCCCCTCCCGCTGAATAGAAGCTCCCAGAGTAGGGAGTCTGATCTGTTTTTCTCACTAACGTTTCTCAGCACCCATGGATAGTGCTCAGCTCAGTATGTGTTGAATTAATGAAAACGTGCTTGAGTGGATTAAATGAATGAACTCCTTCTGCATAATTCTTTCTGCTTCCGGGTTGGCATCTACATTGGCAATGGTGTTTTCAGCATGTTTAAAGATTCCTCCTGTGGAATGGACAGCATTCCTACCCGTTTGGAAGCTGCCATACTTGGGATTTGGGATTTGGCCCAAGGAGGTAGATGCTGATGGATCACCACCAGGGGGAGCAGTGGGCATGTTCAGCGGCTGCTTAGGAGAAACTGCACCGGGCACCTATTGGAGGGGCCAGGAGATCATCCCGGCTGATGGAAATACCTTTTTGCCTTCCAAAGAAAGTGCCTCAGAGAGCTCTTAAGTACAATTTAGTACGTAGCTCACAACTAGCATGTAAGAGAGATGTGATAACCTCCGGCGAGTTTATTGTTCTTTCCTGACTCTACGTCAATTAGGATTCTTTTGGTTGCAAGTGACGGAAATTCCACATCCCAACTGTAGCACTGTGGCACTTGACTGGTAAACCTCTCAGTCTGGAACCTAGGGGTACCATTTCCTTTCTTCTCTCATCTCTATGATTTTTTTTTTTTCAGTTTTTAGTGGTCTTTTAAAATAAAATAGCCTCATGTTCCCTAGGGGCTAAGAGATTAACGGTGGCAGCGAACACCAGTGGCAGGCTTGCAATATGCCAGGTGCTGAGCCAGATTCTCTCCATGGTTGCTGTAAAGCTCCCCAGCAACTAGACAGAGTTGGTTCTAAAGTCTTCTTATTGTCCACATTTTACAGAGACAGAAGCTGAATCAGAGAGGTGCCCAACTTGCCCAAAGTCATATGGCAAGGGTTGGGGGGTGGGTAGGATTTTAGCTTGCTTCTCTCTGCTATCAGAACAGGGTCCTTAACCCGAATTCTTTGCTGTGGCAGTCATGTCTGAAATCAAGCTATATGATTTAGAAGTAAGAGCTTTGGATTTTAATCCACTGAAATGTAAACTGCTACATGAGCTGGTTGAGCAGGAAGAGACTTTGTGTCAGTTTCCCTGAGGCCCCTGTAACAAATGACCTCAAACTTCATGGCTTAACATGACAGAAAAAGTGTTCCCATACAGTTCTGGAGGCCAGGAGATTGAAATCATCATGTCTGCATGACCACATTTCCCCCTAAGGCTGTAGAATAGGATCCTTCCCAGCCTCTTCCTGCTGCTGGTAGAACTTGAGTTCCTCTGCTTGAGGCCGTGTCCCTCCAGCCTCTGCCTCTGTCCTCACACAGCCTTCCCCTCTGTCTCTCTCTTCTGCTGTCATAAGGACACCCGTCATAAGTCCTCACCCTGCTCCAGGATGACCTCGTCTTAACTGATTGCACCTGCAGTTACCCTCTTTCCAGATAAGATCCCATTCTGAAGTTTCAGGAAGGGCATGGGTCTCGGGGGGCTTCTGTTCAACTGGTGCAGGGCCCTCACTGGAGCATCCAGAAAAAGCCAGAGTGGGTGACCTGGGGCTGACACTTCCTCCACACACTTTTTCGGTGTGGTTTCCACACTGTTACCTGTGTGGAATGTGTTCAACACTGTGTTGAGCCTGTGTCCTCTGACACTCTGTCGTGGGAAGGCTGGACAAGACAGCCCTGGGGTGAGCTGAAGATTAAGTTCAGGTTCGTATGTGGAGAGGCCGTGGTCCCTCTGAGATCCAAGCAGAGGTGTCAAGCAGCCAGCTGGTTCTGTGACTGTGGAGCTCACAGAGAAGCCACGGCTGGGTGTGTGTTTCAGATTTGCTGCAGATGTGGGGTTGATGCCGTCAGGGAGCACCTGACTGCCTGGGAGAGGATACAGAGTGAGAAGAGGCCCAAGCCTTGGAAACTCTGCTCTTCAATGGCAGCCAGAGCAAGACAGCCTGTGAAGAAGATAGAAACAGAAGTGGCCTTGGGGAGAGGGAGCAGGAGGTCATGAGTCAGGGGGTGACGGGGTCAGACGCTGGTGAGGAGTCAGGGCAGGAGAACAGAAAATTGTCAGGTAGGTTGGGTGGCCAGGAAAGCACTGGTGACCTTAGCAGGAGCTATCTGGTGGTGGGGGTTGGGGAGCTGTGGCCAGGCAGAAGAGGGTCAACGACTGAGAGGGAGACATGGGCTTGGAGACGGGAGAGAAGCCAACTCTGCCAGGAAGCTGAGCTGCAGAGGCCCGGCTGGAGGCTGGTAGTGTTTTGTTTTATTTTATTTCATTTAGGTGAGAGAGACAGGAGCATACACAGATGTCAGTATGTGTGTCAAGTTGAATCTGTCCATGCTTCAGCCCCTAGCTCTGTCTCCTTTGTCTTGGGGGAGTGACTGAACAGGCCACGGGCTGCAGGCTATGCTTGCTCTGCATCCAGAGTACTGAATTCAGTTGACCCAGGCCAGAGACACTGCTTTGACCTTCCCCTGGGCCTAAGGCCCCAGGCAGGGGAGAGATTTCCTTGGTCACGAGCCCCTAGGGTTAACTGCTTATTCTTTCTCCTTTACAGATGGATGAGATCAAAGGGAAAGACCGTGTGATTTTGGCCTTGGAGAAGGAACTTGGCGTGCAGGCTGGGCAGACCCAGAAGCTGCTTCTGCAGAAAGAGGCTTTGGATGAGCAGCTGGTTCAGGTCAAGGAGGCCGAGCGGCACCACAGTAGCCCAAAGAGGGAGCTCCCGCCCGGGATCGGAGACATGGTGGAGCTCATGGGCACCCAGGTGAGGGGCGGCAGCTTGTGGAAGACTCGGGCTGGTTCCCCCTCCCCGTTCATTTTTCTACGGGAAATTATTCTGGTCAGCTTGCCACAAAGGACATTGAAGCAGCATGTATTCATTCATTCATTCATTCACTCAGTATTGGAGGGGATGTTATGAATTCTTTGTGCCGGACACTGTGTGAGGTGCCAGTGTGTAGTGACCTTTGTAAGAGATGCAGGGTGGGAGGGGGCCCAACCACAAGGTCCCCAGGGAGCCATAGAAGGGTTTGAAGTCTCAGTGGGCTTCTAGATGCAGTCTTCTGAAGGTGTGCAGTGTGCTTGGGTGTTCCCCACCTTGCTGTGTGGCATGCGGGCCCCTGAATAAGGATCTCACCCATTATGTCATGTGAATTTTCTAAGACTCCAGGAAGCTTCTTCAAAGTACATTTGCATCTTGACTTTTTTGTTTTTTTAGGATCAACATATGGATGAACGAGATGTGAGGCGATTTCAACTAAAAATTGCTGAACTGAATTCAGTGATACGGAAGCTGGAAGACAGAAATACGCTATTGGCAGATGAGAGGAATGAACTGGTGAGCAGCCTCTGAGAGAGATGGTGGCTCATAGGGTGCAAGGAAGGGGCCCTGGGTCCCCAGAACATGCCCTGCACAGAAAGTTAACACACAGGCCTTCTGGTTCTCTGAACTTTCTTTCTTTCTTCTTTTTGATTAAAAATCTAACACACACTCATTGAAGAAATCTCTTACTGCCATTTGTTTTTGCAGGAATTTATCTTTAGCAAACGATTGTAGAAGTTCTGGGAGAAGCATGGCGAGGATGTTCATTGCAGTGTTGTTTACATTAACAACCAAACCCAAAGCGAATCAAAAATTAAAAAACCAAAAAACCCAATTGTTCAATGGTAAAGCACTGGGCAGAGTGACTGTGGAATATTTATGCAATTAATTCTCTACTGTCATTAAGATTGGTGATGGAGACCCTACTTAATTGACATGGAAATGTGTTCATAGTAAATTAAATGAAAAAAATAGTTTACAGAACAAGAAAACATTGTCATCATCTTGGATATTAGAAGTTGTTCTTTTAGGTGGCATAATTATGGGTAATTTTAATTTGTGCTTATCTATTTCCTTTTTTGCATAAAATTTTATATACTTGTAAAATAAAACTTATACATTAATTTTTAAAATAACGATCATGGACTTCTGGTTAAAAAAGAAATCTCCAGTAAAAATAGCAATTTCATGAATACATTTACATTTTCTAGATAACAGCAAAACTAATTTTTATGTAATGGCAGTTGATACCTCAACTTCTTGACAGAGGCCTCATAATTTTTATGTTTATTCTAACTTTTAATGAAGGGAAGTATATCTGCAGAATGTTTGAAAAAAATGAGTGGTGAAAAGGGTCAGTATCACCTCTTCACAACTTTAACATGATCAAAATAAATTCACTTCCTTCTAGTATTTTTTTTTTTTTTTTTGAGACAGAGTCTTGCTCTTTTGCCAGGCTGGAGTGCAGTGGCATGATCTTGGCTCACTGCAACCTCCATCTCCCAGATTCAAGTGATTCCCCTGCCTCAGCCTCCTGAATAGCTGGGACTACAGGCGCGCGCCACCACACCTGGCTAATTTTTTGTATTTTAGTAGAGACAGGGTTTCACCATGGCCAGGATGGCCTCAATCTCCTGATCTCATGATCCACCGCCTTGGCCTCCCAAAGTCCTGGGATTATAGGCATCCTTCCAGTATTTTTAAAGGCATATTTTTATGGCTTTAATCAGACTGTACATCTAATACTATGTCTCTACTTTTCATTTAAATATTTATAAGCTCATAAATACTCATGAACTGCAAAATAGTTTACTGAGTGGATTAGGAAAAAACACAGGCTTCTGGAAACATGTCAGATCAGACTGAAGTAGTTAAAAGTAGAAACTGATAAGTTTGCCAACGCTTCAGTCTTTTTTTTTTTTTTTTTCTGAGACACTGTCTTGCTCTGTTGCCCAGGCTGGACTGCAATGATGCGATCTCAGCTCACTGCAACCTCCCCTCCCGGGTTCAAGCAATGCTTCTGCCTCAGCCTCCTGAGTAGCTGGGATTACAGGCACCCACCACAACACCAGCTGATTTTTGTATTTTTAATAATGACAGGGTTTCACTGTGTTGGCCAGGCTGGTCTTGAACTCCTGACCTCAAGTGATCTGCCTGCCTCAGCCTCCCAAAATGCTGGGATTACAGGCATGAGCCACTGCGCCTGGCCTCAATCTTAAAATCATGAGGTAACT